GGGGGGGGGGGATAATTCCGTGCTTTTGGACTTCTGCAAGGCCAAAATGCCCAAGCTCGACTCTTTCTCCCTCCAAACCCGTCGCAGTTGCATTCCCAAGCCAGCTCCCAGAGCTTCACACCCTATGATTTTGGAATATGCCTAAACCCTGGTAGTATCCTGATAGGATCCTCAGAATAGCCTTTTTTAAACCCTGATGAAGCCCGTTACAACCTAACATCTTTCATGGAACACATAGAACCCTAGAAAGACCTATAGACGACTTCTGAACGCGTATCAACACACCCCAAAACCCTATACAATTTCAAGATAGGGGCCCCAATAATTAGAATAGGGTTTGGGGTATCTTATAGTAATGTTTATGACAAGGAACCCCCCCCCCCACTCAAGAAAAGGTATTAATTGAACACTAAACATTCAGGCCTCTACATTAGGAACCACTATATTCCTCCTAAACCTTAAACCCTAAACCCTCTGCCAGCACCACGCGTAGGACAACCGGATCGGGTCGCGTGGGCTGGAGCTGCTGATGGACACGATCTCCAAGGCTACAGTAGGGTCAGGGGCCTCTTTCGGGGCTCAGAACCCTAATCCCTAGACGCTAAACCCTAGGCTCAGGGGGCCTCTTTCGGGGTTTAGAACAGGTTCTAGGGGATCCTCTAGGGTTTCCTGTAACTGTCTAGTACTAGGTGTTTTTAGGGTTGTTGTCTTTTTTCAGGGTTTAGGGATTAGGGTTTAGCGGATCCCTGAAGAGGTGCTTTACTGTTACAGAGTTTAGGGTTTATAAACCTAAACCCTAAACCTTAAACCCTAAACCCTAAACCGGTTTATAGGATTTCTTCAAGCGGTTCTTCACGGGTTTACCAAGGGGTTTGGAGTTCCTTCAACGGTTCCTGCATGGGTTCTTTCAATCGAACGGTTCTCGAGATTTTTTGTAGTTTTGGGTTTAGTTTTTTTGTTTTGTTGATGTTGAGGATTGTTTTCTAGTGATCTCCAACAAATCTAGTTTCGTCTGTTCAATCAGTTTTCCGTCAAGGGCCGCATCAGGGTTATATAACAGTTATCGGTTGGTTCGCCTTTGCAAGTCTAAGCCCTGAACGCTCAACTTTAAGTCGGACCGGGCAGGGGACAGATACTCATTCCCTGCCGTCTCCAGGGTGAGATCAAACTGGTCTCACCCTCGAGTAGCGCCGGGACTCTCGCAGTAATATAGGGGCCTTATAATTAATAACAACAGGAATATAAGGTTTCGGGGTGTATTATATTAAAAATATATTCTAAGTATAATAAGGTATTTAGGCTCCTTGTACTTCTGCCGACATTGGGGTGATGGGAAGCCTGCCGCCCCGTAACCTTGGGGCATCGGCGAGGAGGAGTGCTGCTGACTCCACTCACTAACGTGTGTTGTGTGTCAGGGCGTCAGATAACGACTCAACATTGCATTGAGGATTCGTTCCACATTTCATTTCTTTTGGAGACTGAGGCTATCGCAAGCAAAAGCCCAAAGCCCTAAAATGCCTCAACGGTTTGCAGTCTACGGTCCTTTGGATTGCTGCGGGCAGTTTCTCTACGCGTCCAGGTACCTATACAGTGTAAAGGTTGCCGCTAAACGTACCAGATAGAAACCCGTCTGAAGTCTAAGTATGTATTGTTCGAAATATGACATAGGTACAGGGACCCTACAAAACCTCTAACTTTAAAAGGAAGCTCAATAAACCCAACGACAATTCGTAAAACCATCAAGAGGTACTTTAACATGCGATATCCATCCCCTGGAGAAGCAAGAAACTGACCGTGTCGGAGTTTAGTGCTTTTAGGGGCCTGTTGTTTGTTTTGTTCGTGCAATGTTCTACGACAACATGTCGGTGTAACTTGCGTGTCATTGACCTTGGATTGCTTTTCAGGGTGCGAGTGGGGATGGGGGGTTTGAGGGTTGATATCGTAAGCCTCGCTAGCTGCTACGCTAGCTCTTCAAACCCAAGCATTCCCTAAACCTGCACCAACTAGCTACTCTACTGCAGCTTGACTGACCCTAACTAATTACTCGTTAGAAAGGCTCCATTCAAGTTACCTTCGGAGATGCTGTTAGTCACGCGATTAGCTCCGAACCAAACCGTTAGGCCCGAAACCTTGAACCTTAAACCGCGAGGCCCTAATTAAACACGTTCTAATCTCGATAAAACCTTATAAACCCCTAGACCCTAAACCCTAAAACCTCAAACTAAACTCGATAAGCCCTACACCGAAGGCACCCGGCCTTCAACGCCTCGCAGCAGCAGGAAACCTAGCCCCAGATGTACGGCCCTCAGCACGGATGGTGGAGTTTACAGGTTCGGGGTTTAGGGGGTTTGGGAGTTTAGGGTTTAGGGGTTTAGGGGTTTAGGGGTTTAGGGTTTAGGGTTTAGGGTTTAGGGTTTAGGGGTGAAGGAAGGGTTTAGGGCTTGGTCTTTAGGGGTTGCAGTGTTGAATTAGGGGTTTAACGTTTCGGGGTTTAGGGGGTATGGTGGTGCTAAGACCCAGGTACTCAAACACCGGTTGAAGAAGGAAGTTGCCTTCGCTTGTATCTTACTAAGGCACTAGACCCTAGGCCTCATTTTATCGTTTGAAGGATTCTCTTGCCCAGAGAGCCCAATACCCCTTAATTAAGGCATATACCTTTAATCATAACATTAAGGCCCAATAATCTAAGGTATAATCCTTAATTAAGGGGTATTGGGCTCTCTGGGTGGATCAAGGGCTTCTGGGGTCTTCTGGAGTCTGTGTGAAAACACGCCCCAGAAGTCCTTGTCTGCTCTACAGGTGCCCCGATGATTCATGCGGATGATGAACCCCTTCTTCGAGCACTGAGGCTAACCCTTAGCATCAAAATAGCCCAAAAGCCTTATACAGTAGGGTCTTTGGGCCCAAAAGCCTTAAAATATGAGTCCTTTGAGGGTGAGGCTAACGGTGTAACCTATCTCTTCCCCCTATTAAGGGTCCTTTAAGTCCCATGAACTGCTCACAGAAGCAATGACCAATATTTTTGTTCACAGATGCTGCCTGCCGCGAGACACGGAATAGCTGGAGTGGACTTTGCAAATTACCCTAAACCCTAAACCCTAAACCCTAAGCCCTAAGCCCTAAACCCTAAACCCTAAACCCTAAACCCTAAACCCTAAACCCTAAACCCTGGCCGGAGGAGCCTAGGCTTCGCTGCACCCCTAAACTCCCTAACACCCCAAAGCCCTAAAGACAAAACCCTTTCCCTGAGGGTCCAAGTACCCACATAGTAGGGTTTCAAGGTCCAAAAACCATGCAGAGTATGGATTTTGGGACCTAGAACCTTATTATTTGGGTACGCAGACCCTCTGGGTTCAATGTTAAGGCTCTACATCGATAGGCACACGTACGTATAAGTTGAGGACACGCTCCACGTCTAGGGGCCTATCCGGAAACGGATCGGCACCATTTAGGGCACAAACGGCTAAACCCTAAACCCTAAAATCGTATAAAACCCGAAACCCTGAACCCTAAAACCCTTAAACCCTAAACCCTAAAACCCTAAAGCCCTAAACCCTAAAACCCTAAACCCTAAAACCCTACATCCCTAAACCCTAAAACCCTACATCCCTAAACCCTAAAGCCCTCAAACTCTAAGAGCTCCTCCCTTTCACACGCGGCTTCCCAGGACTGGCCTGAGCGCATCCTCGAGAACCTGGTCACTGCGGACCGTGAAGGGGCGCCTGCCTTAAGGACCAAAAGACCCTTAAAACTAGGGACCCTATACCCTTATACGATGAATCCTTATTATGGTATATGAACCTTAAACCCTTGAAGGGTTCATTTCGTCCTTTAGGTGGGCCGCCCTTTTGTGTTTGCAAGCTTCCGAATGGGTTTAGGGTTTAGGGTCTGTGGTGTCTGCGGGGTCTTATAGAGCTTCGGGCATATTCTTCTCGGGGTCTTATAGAGCTTCGGGTAAATAGTTTTAGAGGGTTTTAGAGGGGTTACGTTGGCAAGCTTTTCTTCTGGGGTCTTATAGAGCTTGGGGTATATAATGTAGGTGGCTAAATAAATACCTAGACTATTTTGGGGGCTCCTTCGTATAATTATAGTATAGTGTACCTCAAAACGCTATTCTAATTTTAAAGGCCCCTACATTACAAAGGGTTTTAGAGGGTTTTGGAGGGGTTATGTGCGAAAAGGTTTAGGGTTTGGCAATTAGGATGTACGACTTCTCTCGGCAGGCTTGCATGTGTCAAAAAAGGTTTGTGGATTGGGGCTTAGTTTCCGGTCCACATCTGCACTGCGGGTTATGGTCGAACATATAAACAAAGTCAAGAATCACGTTGGCTCGGGTATTAGTATGCTTGTAACCACAGTTCGCCCCACATCGACTAAATCCTAAACCCTACATCCCAAACCCTGCACCCTAGACCCGAATCCCTAAACTCTAGACCCGAAACCCTAACCCCCAACCCTAAGCCCTAAACTCCTGGCATCAGAGTGCTTGGTCAGTGTCAGGTACAGCATGTCATCACGAAATCCAAGCTGCCTACCCTGAACCCTTACTTTACGAATCTGACCCTAAACCCTAAACCCTAAACCCTAAACCCTAAACTCATGTTTTAAGGCTCTTGGGCCCGAAGACACTACGATTTAAGGCTTCTGGGCGATTTTGAGACTGAGGGTTAACCTCTAAACCCGACACCGTAGTCACTAAGAGCTGGGCATAGGGAGCCAGAATACTTAGCAGTACTATTCCTGCCGGGGTTAGCAAATATAGATATATATATATATATGGATACACACACACACATATATATATATATATATATATATATATTTATCTATTTATTTACAACTTTTTCACGTGTTGCATGGAACCTCCTCAGCCTTAGTCCGATTATTCAGGCCCCTCTAAGGGTATAAAAACCGAAGGTAGCCCTGCAAGCAGTTCTTAACACCCTATAGAAACACCCTTGTAGAGCCTTCTATAGAAACCTCTGAAGCCCGAAACCCCAAACCATGAAACTCTAAACCATGAGCCCCAAACCATGAAACCCTAAACCCCAGGGCATGGAGGCATGGAGCCACGCCTCCCGCTATTTCATTTATTTATTTATTTATTTATTATTATTTTTTTGTTGGGGGGGGTTGCTTATTATCATCATAGTATAGTACCCCCGAACCCTATTCTAATTGTTAA